TTAACTTAATCTCATAGTTAATTAGTTAATCACATTTGCAATCAAATTCAATATAATATATAGTTTTTTTATTTGTAAGATTTTTACGCTATAACGAAGAAGGGAGTGGTAGAAAACAAATCTGCATTCTTCTTCCTCTCCCTTCCTCTCTGTCCTCTCAATAATTCGGTTTTCGGTTCTAACTTCTAACCTCAATGCCTCTCTGTTTTCAAGTCTGAAATCCTGAATCTCTCAGATCGAACATTTTCATGATTTTCTTTTAACGGATTTTCATAACTGCCATTTTTTTTTGAGTTTGGTTTTCATTGCCGTAATTTGATGTGTTACGATTGTGGTTCTTCAAAACCCTAATTACTACATTCTCTTTCATCTTCGTTTTGCTTCTGAAATCTGAATCACATTTCTCTCTTGTTTCTTAAGGTATTTATCTATTTGGCTTTTAGCTCGGAATTATGTTCATATTTTATTGCAATCATGAAGCTTTTTATTTGAAATGTTTTGGTTCAATTTGTTCGTTAGGATTTTTTATTTATTTATAAATGTTACTCCTAATTCCTTCATTGGAAAATGTTCAATTTGATTTGTTTACACTTTCCTTTTCTGTTGCTGTTAATTAATATTTGGTTAAATTAACATGAGATTTCATGTTTTTTTTTAAAGATATTATTAGAATATCTAAATTATGATACTTTTGTAGGTTTTGATAAAATATAAAAATGTAAATGTGTATATGTAGCGGTGATATGAGCTGATGCAATTTTCTTCTTCTTGTAAACAGGCTGAAATAGTTTGTTTAGCACCTCAACATTATAATAGTTTGATTTCTTTTCGGCTTTTGATCCTGGTTAGTGGCGGATGCAGTTGAGATAATTTAGTACCCAGGTTTACGCGGTGGATGTTAATGATGGATGTTTCTGAGGTTGAAGAAAGTTTCTTTGCAGCAAGTGATGCCAAGGTATGGTGATATATCTTTAATTATTGCAAGAAATGTTTCGAAAGATTTATTTTGAAAGATATTAAGAAAATGATTCTGGCCATTGTTTCACATTCTGTTGACCTTTTCTTTAACTGAATTTTCTGACTCTTTGCTTATGCAGTTACATGGAGAAATGTGCAGATGTCTATCTGCAATATATTGTAAAATTTTATCCCTTTTTCCGGCCTTAGAGGCAGCTAAGCCCAGGAGCAAATCTGGAATTCAGGCATTATGTTCGCTGCATGTAGCCTTAGAGAAGGCGAAGAATGTACTTCAGCACTGCTCAGAGTCTAGTAAACTTTACTTGGTATGATTATTTTAGTCTGGGTTTACTTATATTTTATGATTTTGTCTCTTATTATGTAAGTTGTATTTAGTTTAATGTAACATGTCACACTTTTATTCTTCTGTTAGTTGGTGAGGTTATTTAATCTGAAATACTCTTCTAAAGTATCTTAAATTCACTTATGATGCAGGCTATAACTGGGGATTCTGTTCTTGTGAAGTTTGAGAAGGCCAAGTGTGCTCTTGTAGATAGTCTTAAGCTAGTGGAAGATATTGTTTCCCAATCCATTGGGTATCAGGTGATAACTTTCAACAATATGATTTTATAGTTTCTCTTTTTCGCTTTTAAATTTCATTTATATTTGATTCTAAGTTTATGATCATGTTCAATTATTGGAAGTATATATCTCAGCCTTGCTAGTTTCCTTTTGATATATGAGCAAAGGAACCTATTTTATTTGCATAATTTATTCTTTTCTTCTCATTGTCATTGTTAAGGTTTGTCAGAGTTTGATTTTTACTCTTGTGAATTCACCTCTGTTCAGATTGATGAAATTGTAAACGAAATTGCTGGTATTGTGTTTGCGCTTGATCCATCAGAGAAGCAAGTCGGGGATGACTTAATTGCATTGCTCCAGCAGGATAGAAAGTTTAGCGACTCTAATGACAGTAGTGAACTTGAGTGTTTCCATATGGCTGCTACTAGACTTGGAATCACATCTTCTAGAGCAGCTCTCACAGAAAGAAGAGCTCTGAAAAAGCTCATTGAAAGGGCTCGGGGTGAGGAAGACAAGAGAAAAGAATCAATTATTGCGTATCTTCTACACCTTATGAGGAAATACTCCAAGATATTTAGAAATGAGTTCTCTGATGATAATGATTCGCAACCTTGTTCTCCCACCGTCCACAAACCTCTCGTGAACGGTGTTCCAGGTAGTCATTATCAAGCCTTTGATAGGCAAATATCAAAACTTGGTTCTTTTAATTTTAATCCAAACAATAAGAAATCTGGGCAGATGCCTCTTCCTCCAGAAGAGTTAAGGTGTCCAATCTCTCTGCAACTTATGAGTGATCCTGTTATAATTGCTTCTGGGCAGACTTATGAAAGAGCTTGTATAGAAAAATGGTTCAATGATGGGCACAGCACCTGTCCAAAGACTCAACAGAAGCTTGCACATCTGTCTTTGACTCCTAATTACTGTGTCAAGGGTCTCGTGGCTAGTTGGTGCGAACAGAATGGAATTCCTGTTCCCGAAGGCCCTCCAGAATCTCTTGATTTTAACTACTGGAGATTGGCGTTATCAGATTCCGATTCCACAAATTCAAGATCCGTAAACAGTGTCAACTCTTGCAAATTGAAGGGTGTCAAAGTTGTTCCTCTTGAAGAGAATGTTATCTTAGAGCAAACTGAGAGAAATGTAACTGAAAGTTTGCCAGCACAAGAAGAGGAAGACGGTGAAAAGTATCTTAGTTATGTGAAATTATTGACCAAAGGGAACAATTGGAAGAGAAAGAGTAAAATAGTAGAGCGGTTAAGGCTTTTGTTGCGGGATGATGAGGAAGCTAGGATTTTTATGGGGGCTAATGGATTTGTTGAAGCACTTTTTCAGTTTCTGCAATCAGCTGTGCGTGAAGGGAATGCGGTGGCTCAGGAAAATGGAGCTATGGCTCTGTTCAACCTGGCTGTGAATAACAACAGGTAGGAATTACTGTTCTTAGATTTGAACAGAAACATGAATTTACTTTGTATATGATCACAAATTTTAAATAGTTATTGTTCCTAGTATAATTCAGTTCCACTGATTTTTTCTGAATTATCAGTGGTTACTGTTTAATTTATCTTGTTCTTTCTTTTCTTTTGTGCAATTCATTAACATAAACTCGATCTCTTTTCTTCAACAGAAATAAGGAACTTATGATATCAGCAGGAATCTTATCGTTGTTGGAGGAAATGATTTCAAACACCAATTCGTATGGTTGTGCAACTGCACTTTATTTGAATCTTTCTTGCCTTGAAGAAGCCAAGCAAATGGTTGGCACAAGTCAGGCCGTGCAGTTCCTTATCCAGATGCTTCAAACTAAAACAGATGTCCAGTGCAAGCTAGATGCCCTCCATGCACTCTATAATATTTCTACCGTACCCGCAAATATTCCAAACCTTCTTTCATCTGGCATCATCAGTGGCCTACAATCCATTCTTGTAGGCCAGGCCGATTGCACATGGACAGAAAAATGCATAGCTGTTTTAGTTAATTTGGCCATTTCTCAAGCTGGAAGAGAGGAAATGGTGTTGAATCCTGAACTCATAAGCACATTAGCTTCTATACTCGATACCGGTGAATCCCTTGAGCAGGAACAAGCCGTGTCTTGTCTTCTAATATTATGCAACAGGAGTGAGAAATGTTGTGATATGGTCCTGCAAGAAGGCGCTATACCTGCATTGGTGTCAATATCAGTAAATGGAACCTCAAGAGGAAGAGAGAAAGCTCAGAAACTCTTGATGCTCTTCCGAGAGCAGCGACAGCGAGATCATTCACCTGCTAAGACTCAACTCTTCTCTCCTGAAGCTGGTGATTTGTCCATGCCTCCTCAAGAAACGAAACCGTTATCTAAATCAATATCTAGAAGAAGAGTTGGGAAAGCTTTAAGTTTTCTATGGAAAAGCAAGAGCTATTCTGTATACCAGTGTTAGTGTTAGGTTCCATGTAATTAAATCTTTGTTTGATTTTTAACTCTTCTGGGGGCCTTCCTTTTTATCATCCTCTCATGTAAATTGTTGCTTATTTTTTGGATTCCAAATTGAAGAGGAGTTGTACAGGCACGTGTAATTTATTTGGGTTAGATTTACTTTATGAAAGTTAATTATTGGAGATTCATAATTCTTACTTAGCTTGTAAAAAGAGAACTAAACAGCATATCTTTATCTTATTTTTTTTTTGGTTATTCTTTTTCTCTATCTACGTATTTGAGGAGTTTATGATAGGTTTAGAGACATAAAATGCTTGTAACAGCTTAAATAACTAAATAGTTAAAATGACTAAATAAAGTCATAAAAAAAATCATTAGAAAGAGAGGACGTTATTGCTTCAGTTTTTAAGGAAAACTACTTGTCGCATTAATGGTATTGAAACAAAAGAGAAGTGTGAACATAAAGTCCAAAACTACAGCTATTTGGGACAAAGAACAAAGGTGAAAGAACCAATTCCTTATGAGGAGGAAATGGTAGGATTCCAATATTCATTCATTACATTCTTGAATATATAGCTGTCTGTCCACAATTTGTTGTGGGGACTGAGTTCCCATGAATTTGATTGATCGATAGTCCTTTCATTGCGTGTCTTGTCATTCAAACCACAAAAATTCGGGCAATATTACATATGTTTCCGACTACAGAGTAACTGCACTTTCTTTGTACTATATACACAAAAATTGATTTATGAGACAGTTTATAAGTTTGGCAGAATGAAATGCTAAAAAGAAAATAAGCATCTGATTCGATTATTCAGTGCTTAAGTTTACAGCACAACTCAACCAAAAGAAAAGACTAAAAGTTTGGAGAAAGTGTGAAGCAGAATATGTAGCTAATCAAAACTATGAATTTCTTAAGAATCTAACAACTTAAAAAGTAATAAATATCCTAAATGAAATCTTAGTCCAAGTTAAATCTCTAAAAACAAGAGCAATATACATGGTTATTCTTCTTCTTAATTCATGTTGTGCTTGATTTTGCTATAGTTTTATGGTTCAAGTGATGCTGAAATCAGAAAGATCGCCCCATAGCAACCTTCCGATAATTCGTATGTCTTGATCGTTTCGTTTTACTTCTTTATGATTATTTTATTCTGCATAAACCTATAAATCCAATTTCAAATGAAGGCGAGTTACTAAAACTTGAACTGTTAAATTATTTATTGTAGGTATACCAGGTGATGGTAGATGTATGTTCAGATCAGTGATCTATGGTGCCAGCCTCAGAACAGGAGACCAACCTCCAAGTCTCACCAAGCAAAAAGAACTTGCAGATGAACTCAGAGCAAAAGTAATTTACTAATTGTTTTTATTTTTCATGAAACTAAAAAAAATTCTAGTCTACCGCGATACGGTTCACTAGTATTTTTGTGATCTAGACCGAAGTATTACACACACACACACATATATATATATATATATATTGCTTGCAATATTACAGCTGTTTTATAGTCGCAGATGTAAGACTCTTTTATCACTGGTTGTTGTTATAACACATTGTTTGTAGGTTGTGGATGAATTCATCAAGAGAAGAGCAGACACTGAATGGTAAGTTAATTATCTTGAGGAAAAAGTTTTGATATATTAGACATTCATTTCTGTATTTAATTTATTATATGTTGTGTAGGTTTCTTGAGGGTGACTTTAACACCTATACAATGCAAATGAGAAAGTGTCAAGTATGGGGAGGAGAGCCTGAACTTCTCATGTCATCACATGTTTTACAGTTAAGTCAATTTCCTTTAATTTTGCAGAATTTTCATATACATGTAATCTAACGTTTTAATGATGATGTGTGTTATGGTTTTAGGATGCCTATAACAGTGGTGATGCAGGATATGAATTCCAATAACCTTAAAATTATAGCTGAGTATGGTCAAGAGTATGGAAAAGAGAAGCCTATTAGAGTTATATATGATGGTTATGGGCACTATGATGTATTGAAATGTTCAACATGATTATACGTAATACGCAGTCCTAATACTGCAGTTTATTGTAACCTAGTGATTGTCTGTATTATAACTTACAATATGTTTTAATGTGATTGTGACCTCCTAGTACCAAACAAAGGAAATCAAAATTATGAACGTCTCATCAAAATGTTTTCCAATAAATTGAAGGAAGTCGGTGGTTCACACATAATTATTCACAATGATCCAAAGACGCCACTCATAATGGTCTTTGTCTGAAAAATATATCTCCAAAAATGAAAAGTACTATGAAAAATTAATCCAGAACAATGCATAGGTGGAAAAAGAAATTCTCTAAACAACCAATCTTACATTTCTTCGCCTTGTTGGAAAAGAAATCAACCCAAAGGAGAAAATTACTACACCCACAGCCACTTCCTCTTAAAAACATCTTTAAATGGGACTTGCGCTCTAGTTGAAATGAATGTTTTGTGTTATGATTAAATCTCTAAGACTCTCTTAAAAGCATCACAAGCATTAGACACTAAAAAAATTTAAACTCCCCGGTAAAAAAAAGTTGTCATATTAACTATCAAAATATTACTACAATTAAAAATTTGTTATATATTATTATTATTATTATTATTATTATTATTATTATTATTATTATTATTATTATTATTATTATTATTATTATTATTATTATTATTATTATTATTATTATTATTATTATTATTATTATTATTATTATTATTATTATTATTATTATTATTATTATTATTATTATTATTATTATTATTATTATTATTATTATTATTATTATTATTATTATTATTATTATTATTATTATTATTATTATTATTATTATTATTATTATTATTATTATTATTATTATTATTATTATTATTATTATTATTATTATTATTATTATTATTATTATTATTATTATTATTATTATTATTATTATTATTATTATTATTATTATTATTATTATTATTATTATTATTATTATTATTATTATTATTATTATTATTATTATTATTATTATTATTATTATTATTATTATTATTATTATTATTATTATTATTATTATTATTATTATTATTATTATTATTATTATTATTATTATTATTATTATTATTATTATTATTATTATTATTATTATTATTATTATTATTATTATTATTATTATTATTATTATTATTATTATTATTATTATTATTATTATTATTATTATTATTATTATTATTATTATTATTATTATTATTATTATTATTATTATTATTATTATTATTATTATTATTATTATTATTATTATTATTATTATTATTATTATTATTATTATTATTATTATTATTATTATTATTATTATTATTATTATTATTATTATTATTATTATTATTATTATTATTATTATTATTATTATTATTATTATTATTATTATTATTATTATTATTATTATTATTATTATTATTATTATTATTATTATTATTATTATTATTATTATTATTATTATTATTATTATTATTATTATTATTATTATTATTATTATTATTATTATTATTATTATTATTATTATTATTATTATTATTATTATTATTATTATTATTATTATTATTATTATTATTATTATTATTATTATTATTATTATTATTATTATTATTATTATTATTATTATTATTATTATTATTATTATTATTATTATTATTATTATTATTATTATTATTATTATTATTATTATTATTATTATTATTATTATTATTATTATTACAAATTATTATAAATATATAATTTGTCAAAATTAAAAGTTAAAATAGTAGGTTCAACTATTACATTAGTGTAATAGTTGTATTTTTTAGTAGTATAAATATTATATTTGGCTAATGTAAAAACACACCAAAAATTTACTTTTAAAACACAATTAAAACATTCTCCATTCTTCAATCTTTTCATCTAAACTTGATATTTACAACTAGTTTAGTAACTTATATTAGTTCATAAATATTAACAAATATTCAAAATCAGTTTTTCTCAACATGTTATCAGCGCGATTATTTCTATCAGAAGTTATTACTACACTAGATATAATCATGTCAAATGTTAAACATCACTTCAAAATTTCAGGTTCTGCAAATTTAATTGAAAGAACAGGTAATGTTATGTCATATTACCAAAATCTTGTCATTAATAATGCTTTATACTCTCCAAAATCAAAGAGAAATTTGTAGAGTTTTAGTGACATATATCGTCAATAGGGCTGGAAATGAGTCGAGTCGAGTCGAACTCACCTCAGCTCGGCTCGACTCGTTAAGAATTTTTTGAATTCGAGTTCGAGTTCGAGTTCGACACGAACTTTTTTTTAAGCTCAAACTCGACTCGTTATAAGTTCACGAACAGTTCGGTTCGACTCGTTAGGTTCATCTCATTAGGTTCATCTCACGTGGTTCACGAACTTAAAAACTATTTTTTTAAATATATATATATATATATATATATATATATATATATATATATATATATATATATATATATATATATATATATATATATATATATATATTAGTATATTTGACATTTTAAATAAATATATATATTTTAAAATAAAATATTAAAATAAAATAAAAGTTATCATATTGAAATTTAACTTTATCTTCGAAATCTACTAATTCAAAACCTACACAACTTGAAAGAGATACATTTGAGAGTCTAATTCAAAAACTACTAAATTTAAGATTAAATTTGTCTAAGATTTAAAGTAAATATTTAAACCTAATCTTAAAGACAGTATAATTCTTTTCATATGTAACCGAGTTGACTCATGAACCTAATGAGTCGAACTATGTATAGTTCAAGTTCAGCTCATTTAGTTAACGAACTTAATTTTTCGCTCATACTCAACTCATTTGGTTCATGAACCTAGTTCAACGATTTAATTGTCGAGTCGAATTCCGAACTATCTTCGAGTTGGTTTGGTTCATTGCCAGCCCTAATCGTCAAGGATATGATACTGAAACTGCAATTGAAGATAATATGAAATAAATTAACATTAGTACTAATGTTTTGGGAGAGAAGAAAACTTTAGAAAAACTACCAAAATTGCCTTCTGGATTACATTATACTTATATACATGCAATTGAATGTAATTTAGTAGTAAAAGAAGATCCTAAAATGATGACTTTACGACATGATCATTTAGGTCACCCTGGTTCAACAATGATGCGTAAAATAGTTGAAAGTACCCATGGTCATCCATTGAAAGGTTTAAAATTTACAACAGGAGATAAACCATGTGAAGCTTGCTCTCTTGACAAATTAATAACAAAACATTCGCCAGGTAAGATTTAGACAGAATCGCCTGCATTTCTTGAAAGAATTCAAGACGATATATGTGGACATATCCATCCACCGTCATGACCATTCAGGTATTTTATGGTATTAATTGATGCATCTAGTAGATGGTCATATGTATGTTTACTGTTAAGTCGTGATATGACATTTGCAAAATTTCTTGCACAAATAATTAAACTAAAGTCTCAATTTTCTGATTACACTATAAAGAAAATTAGACTTGACAATGCTGGTAAATTTACATCTGAATTATTTAATAATGATTGCATGTCAATTGGAATTACTGTTGAACATCCTGTTCCTCATGTGCATACACAAAATGGTTTACCCGAGTCTTTAATCAAACGTCTTCAATATATTGCTAGACCATTAATTATGAAAACTAAACTACTAGTTACTGTTTGGGGTCATGCAATTTTACATGCTGTAACACTCATCCGTCTAAGGCCAAGTGCTAATCATAAACATACCCCTTATCAACTTGCAATTGGTAAGGAACCAAATATTTCCCATTTAAAGATATTTGATTGTGCAGCATATGTCCCAATATCTCCACCACATAGAACAAAGATGGGACCACAAAGGAGGTTGGAAATATATGTGGGGTATAAATCACCTTTTATTATTAGATATCTTAACCTTTAACAGGTGATGTTTTTCAGACAAGATTTTCTGATTGTAATTTTAACGAAACAAAATTTTCAACACTAGGGGGAGAAAATAAAAAATTAGAAAATGAGATATCATGGTCTGTACCCCATTTATTACATTTGGACCCATATAAAAAATCATGGGAAGAAAATGTAAAGAAAATTATGCACTTACAAGATTTAGCAAATCAATTGCCAAATTCTTTTGTTGATTTGAAAAGAGTGACAAAGTCACACGTAACAGCTATAAATGTCCCAACTCGGATTAAGATTTCAAATTTAAATATTGTAGCAAGTACATCTAAGGCACACTTGAAGCGTAGTCGACCTATGGGATCCAAAGACAAAAATCCCCGAAAAATAAAAGGAATAGAAAATGTGAATATGATTGAAAGTGATCTTGAAAAGACAATAGATAATAATAAATCCACAATTGAAAAACGTGCTCTCGAAGAAGCACAAGATGATGATAATGAGATCAATGATAATGAAAATAAAAACAAGAATTATCTTGAAATTTCCATTAATTATGTTGATACGGAAACTTTGTGGAACTGAAAAGATATAAATATAGATGAAATATTTTCATTCTCCATTACATGTGAAATTATGAATGAAAATGATGATTCCGAACTAAGAACTATGAATGAATGTCAAAATAGACATGATTGGAAAAATTGGAAGGATGCAATAAATACTGAATTAAACTCTCTTAAAAATTGAAAAGTATTTGGCCCCATTACAACTATACCAAAAGATGTGAAATCGATTGGGTATAAGTGGGTCTTTGTAAGAAAACAAAATGAGAAAAATGATATTGTCAAATACAAGACTCACCTCGTTGCACAAGGTTTTTACCAAAGACCATGAATCAATTATGGGGTAACTTATTCTCCTGTTATGAATGTCATTACTTTTCGTTATTTAATTGGTTTATCAGTATTTAACAATCTTGATATGCATCTTATGGGTGTTGTTACTACTTATTTGTATGGATCCCTTGATATTGATATATACATGAAAATCTCAAAAGGACTTAAAATTTCGGAG